TTCAGTAGCTCTTCTACGCAGTTTATATCTGAATAATAACATCACATTTGTTCCTGTATTGATGTGATGAGAAGAAATGAGACCTGCTGAGGCCTCTGATACATTTATCAGCTATAGTAGGATAATGGCTCAAATGTGCAGCTGCAACATGATTTGGTTTCAATATATTTGTATTTAATGATTTTAATTAATTTCATTTGAACTTTTTTAAGTTTCATTCATCTTTTACTTTCAAATTCACACTGATGTGTTCAGCCTAAAGCTTTTTTAAACACCCTCTGAGCATCTTCAGTGAGCTTATCAAGGATCAAATTCAGAATTTGATCCTTGATAGTTTTGGTACTAGAGAGACCCATGGCTATTGGAATTCCAATAAATGGAATCCATCTGAATACTTTCTCTGCCGCAATTAATGCAGCTACGGACTCAAGTTGGGCTATCACCTTCAGGAGGAGCTCTGTAGTTATGTTTGCTGCAGCAAGTGGTGAAATGATGACAGCACACAGATCAGCATATGGCACACCTGTTCTGGCAGAAAGTCTCTTCAGAGACGGGATATCGAGACCGAATGCATGAACATAATCTGTGACAACACCAACCAGCAAAGCAGCATCAACAACAATAGAAAGACCAGGAACTGGAACAGCTGCTCCAGCTGCAGACAGAGTAGCCCAGTATTTTATTTTGGACTTCAGAGCTTGTTTCTTCTTCCTGATGATCTCTGGGTTGATGTTGGGCGTGGCACACAGCAGAGCATCTCTCTTGTGTGCAGGAAGGTCTCTGTCTAAGGTCTCATGTAAGAGAGAGAAGTGGTACAGGTGGAGCTCAAAGCTGGACACCAGGAAGACCTGTGGAGACTCGATGCCTAATCCTCTGAGTCCTGCGTCACAGAAGAAACACACAGTGTGAAGATTAAGTATGAAATAATAAATGGTCTAAAACTAGGCTTTCCTATCAGTGGATTCATTGACTCCTCTGACTCCACAGAGTTATGAAGGGTTAAACATATTATTTTTGGGTTACACTTACACTGCATTAGTTATTTAATTTGCACTTATTGGGTTTTAAAGATTATTTTATTTGTAAAAATCCTTTCTTTTGATTAATCTTGGATCCTATCTGCTGCTGTTTGTCATGGGAATGATCAGGATATTTTCTATGGAAGATTATTATGAAGCAAAATTGTAGCGGATCGCCCCGCGGGCTTCACAGCGTCAACGCGTTAGCACAGTCCAGCCCCACACACGGGGGCAATCCCCGAAAACTCGCTAACGGAGATTTGCCGCATTAATGTGGTTATGGCATTAATGTCATTTTAACAAGATTAACGCTGACAGCGCTAATATATATATGTGTGT